GCTAACACCTATCGCATTTCTCATTCATTCCTACCCAATATCTTGGAATACTAAGCTTCAGACCAAGTGAAAATAGATGCAAATACTTTGAATAAAGTTACATATGGAATTAAATAAACATGCGGTAAAGCTGTTATTATTAAAATCAGCTATTAAAAAAATGATTACTTATAATACAAATGAGAATACACATGTTATCATGTATAGAATGATAAATATAAAATTAAATTAAAAATTATTTTATTTTATTAATATATCTCGAATTAGGGAAAAATAAGAAAGAGTTCAATAGTTCATCACAGAATGCGAATATTCTCTGTTAGAAATTCCTAGATGGTGTACAAAAAAAAAGGTGAAACAAAGATATTGCAAAAGAAAGCTACACGAGATAATGTGTAAAGAATATCAAGTTAACATATTATAAATTAAAAACATATGAATAAAATATAAATTATATGCATCGTGAATAGGAGGATAGTGGATAGAGGATATATTCATATATTTAGATATCTCACGTTCATAGTGAATGAGATCGCCTTCTCCCTTTTCTTTCTTTGTAAAAAAAGGTGAAATATCTCACTTTTTGCCTTAACTATCTTTTGTTGCCAGGTTTGTCATGGATGTATTTTTTCTGTTATTGTCTAGTTTATTATTTGTTTTGTTATTCTATCTTTACTGACTTGATTATTCGAGGTAATCTTCTGAGACGAACCAGAACCAGTTTTGATGCCAGTTACTTTGTTAGGAAATTGAACTGTTAAATCTCGCTTCTCTATATAACAAGAGAATCGTGTTTGTTGTATTGTTTTGACAAATTACCTAATTAAATGTTCCTATAATTTTTTGAACATCATTTATTATAAAATATAACCAAGGTAAGAAAATTTAGCATTTATTCGATAGTGCAATGTTATTTTAGATAATCATGTGTTTATACTTTACATTGCTATTGATTTGTGATAAGTAATTAAATTTTCAGTATATCTTCGTTATTCTAGGCTTAAACTTTGGTCCTATATTCATAATATAAATTCAGATTTGACAACGTGAACTGTTATTCCTATTGCAAATTCTTGCGCACTTTTTGCCATTAGAAGAGTGCTTTATCAATCCACTTATACAGTGAGAATGTAAAGGTTAGAATAAGTTCTTTAAACACTTGATTTAAACATTGCGCCATTATTATTTTTTTAACGCCAATACCTTATTTTGACACTGTTATCGAAAAGAGCGGTTCTTTTTGTATAAAAATGTCGTATTTTTTCTTATGTCAGGTATGTAATATAACATTTCCAGATATTAATTCGGGAATACTAAAAATGTATTTTTCTAATTTTCATTCCGCCGTGCCGCTTCCTGTAAATAGTTTTTTAAAAAGACTTTTTAACGGTTTAAATCTTATAAGTTGTAGATAAAAACATGTCACATTAAGACCAAATTGCACTAATTTAACTTCAAAATAATAGTTAGCTATCAAACAATAACTGTGTTTAAAACAACAGGTTATCGACATCATGACTCGTAATGCAACGCACAGAGATTGTAATGATAATAGGTTATGGAGATAGGATCCGTACACAAGCTGATGTTTGTAACTTATATAGCAATAAATATCCCGATAAACCTATTACACAATCGACGATGAGCAAAGTCGAAGCAAAATTTAAAAAAAATTGGCAATCTTGGTAATAAATATACGGCCGTCCAGGCCTTACGCAAGATCAACAATTATCTCTGTATCATCAGTGCAAGAAAATCCTCATAAAACTACCTGCAAATTGCATTGAAGCAATCGATATGTCAATCGATGTCTGTTTTAAAGCCTCGAAAAGAAAATAAGTGGCTATAAAGTGCAAGTGATTCACGAACTGAATGTTTTGAATGCAGACAAGAATTTTATAAATTAATAATGGATCGATGTATTCATGATCCGCAATTTCTACTGAAATGTGTTTGCTCAGATGAGGCTGCCTTCTCCTTAACAGGTACAGGTACATTAAATAGGCAGAAATTTAGGTGCTGGGCACAAGACAACCCTCACTGGGTGGTAGAAGAGCACACTCAGTATCCACAGACAGTTAACGTGTGGGCGGAAAGAATTGGTAATAAAATTGTGTGTCCATTTTTTATTTACAGTTTATTGAACGGTGATAAATATTTTGATTTAAAATCCATAAACTAATTTTCGAAACCAAATTCAGATTTTTGCTTTAATCTGTGCCTTCTAAGAATTGTAAGGCAAAGCAGACGTTGATAAACCTGCTATTAGAGACATGGGGAATCTAAAATTTACATTCAACGTCATATCTCCTTAACTCAGCAAAAATCCTTAGCGAATTGGTTTCTTGTACTCGTTCAGAGTAATCGGAATAAAAAGGAAATGAGAGTTAAGATTTAATTTTTAGTTAAGATAACTGATTTTTGCTTAGTTGAGGAGATATGACATGAAATGCAAATTTTAGATTCCCCATGTCTCTAATAACATCTTTATCAATGTCTGTTTTGCCTCGCAATTCTTAGAAGGCACAGAATAAAGCAAAAACCTGAATTTGGTTTCGAAAATTAGTTTATGGATTTTAATATTAGATGTCGCTATTTGCGTCTATTCGAAGCCATGTTAGAGTTGCTTCCTAAGACAGAAGAGATTTATTTTCACGTTCAAAGCGACAATGAATTGCCGTTCTGATGAGGCCCATTGGGCCGGAATACGTATAAGCGGCTACATTGTCGCACTATACTTGAAATTAAATCTTAAGTGTATTTTCCTTTTTATTTTGATTTAGTTATAGCGAATAATTCCCGCACTTGCGGCTCTATAGTCAAATCATCAAGATCCCCGCTAACGGACAATTCACTATGGTACCAGCAAGATGGAGCACGACCTTATTACGCACATGTATATGAATCCTCCTCCTCAGTCCTAATCCCTTTTGGGATGAGGTGACACCATCAGGCCTTCACAGTTTTCTTACGATTTACCTCCATCCTTCTCTGTCCTGGGCTAGTTGTTCTGCTTCATGTAACCCTTGGTTAATCAATATTTTTGTTTGATCTACCCAACGGCTCGGAGATCTTCCCCTGGGTCTCTTTCCTTCAACTCTACCCTCGACTATCAGTTTTTCCATCGCGCCTGTTCTTCTAGCAATGTGTCCAAAATACTGCAAATATCTCTGTTGTATTTGTTTAAGCAATCTATCCTTTACTTTAAGTTGTTCTAATATCGATACGTTAGTGCGATGATCATTCCAGGATATTCTCAACATGCGGCGGTATACCCACATTTCAAAAGCGTCCAGTTTATTTTTAACTGCTTTCTTTAAGGTCCACGTTTCGGATGCATATGTGGCTATGGGAAAAATGGTATATGAATACAAATAATATTTTTCGTAAGATATGTATTGACAGATGAGGATTTTTAGAGTGGTCAGCTAGATTTGCTGATCTGTCCTCGCTAGATTTCTTCTCATTTGGATACCTTCAGTCAGCAATTTTATTAATGCTGATACCCTTAATAATGTTTTTCAAGAATTTCAACATTGTCTTTTATATTGTCAATAGGTGAATGGTTTACAATTTGAGCATTTAATTTAATGGTTTGTAGGTTTATTTAGTCCAGTTTATTATATTTTTATAAATTACATTTTGATATGAGTAAAATGTCTTTTATTTCTTAGATATATATTTATAAATATTTAAAAAGATGCGCTTTTTTCGATAGTAGTGTCAGAATAAGGTATTATCATTTTAAAAATTAGAATGACGTCACAACTCGAAAAGTGATGACGTCATTAAAAAGATGACTTTAGAAAAAAATGCGCCACTGAAAAATAAAATCGAACAGGACTTTTTTTACCCAATGGCTAAATCAAGCGTTTAACGAATCTATTTCAACCTTTACGTGCTCACTGTATATTATACAGAATCAGAATTTACTTACCTATTAGGTGACGAATTAAACAATTAATGGTCTACCATTGAGAGAGATAATCAATATTAAGTATTAAATTATTATCGACTATATTTCCTTCTATAACCCTAGTGTGATAAATGAACTTTAACTCAAACGTAAACAATAATTAAATCATAAATGGTTGTCATAAACAATCAAAACATTGTATGTTAAAGAAAAACTATGATTGGATATACCTTACCGGTACATTCAATATTGTTTTTGCACTATTTTTTGCAACAACCAATGAGCGAATATGAAGATTGTTTGTGTATGGTTCGAATCTCTAGGTGAATCTATTAGCCTGATGTATTTTAACGACAACCTCACTCTTATTCTCGAAAATCGAGTTCTTTGATTCACTAATGATACAGGAAGGGTCAAACAGGAAATAGAAATGTGTCGATTAAATTACATAACCATATCTAAATTTAAACAGATGGGGTGGTCAGTGTATTATCAATTGTTACATAAAAAGTTACGTTACTGTATATTTTTAATGGCTACTGTAGTAATAACTCGCAATTCTTCTTTTTAAATAGTTTACTGATTAGTTTATTGCCATATGCTATAATAAGGTCCAAAAATATCAAATAGTTTTCTATATCGACTGCATTTCATTTCTCAATTAGTTTTATTGATGAGAAAATAATAACTACATACATACGAAATATATTCTTAATTTTGAGAATTATTTTTTAGTCATTAGGTATATTCAACTGCACCTCGTATTATTAGCACTACAAAGGTTTACTTAAATATTTATGTATATAAAAGATAAGTAGTAGCATCTCCACTTAAACTTATATCCTGTTTTCGTGAAATTGTATGTATCATTAACTTAGAAATTTATCATATATGTAAATCAGCTAACGACTTGTAGAAAAAACCTAGCGCCGCCTATGACGAACAACCTGTAAAATATCAATTATAGTGTTTGTTTTGTATACTTCGTACTCTTTTTTACCTCGCTAAACGTCACACAAGTTAAACAACTTTTTTCCAGTCCCATCATAATTTCTGTACTGATAACAGTTTTGACGCGTTTCAGAATAAAAATGGAGTGAATAAAAATCAAAATGAAAAAGTTTATCACAACTAAAATTAATAAGCAGCAATGGAGAGTAACTGTACCCAACATCAATTCAAATTTGTTTCGAAGAAGTGCTTCAAAAGATGATAAATCTGACAAGGAGTCCAAAAGATCGTCTGGTTTTTATGATTTTCAAGAAGCTCAAGAGGATTTCAATAAATTCAGAAGTGTTCAGAACAGCATATACCTCGAATCTTCAACATCCGTTTCAACGTCTTCAGAAGAATTTGAGGATGCGCGAACTATGTCTGATAGAAGCAGTAACAAGAACAAAGAGAGTGACACTGACGTAGAGGCATACCAGGATATCGAGATAACATCTACGCCCATCGTGTCAAAAAACATAGATGACAACAACAGCCAATATGAATATGATGTTCCTAGAATTAGCTTTAAGTTTTTTGGAGAAAAACCAGAAGAAAACATTTATGAAAACGAAGAATGTACCCGTGAATTAGTAGATACTGTGGTTAGTGAAGTAGAAATCCTTATAACTTCGGACAACTCTAAAAATAGTGCTTTAACTAATCCTTCGGAAATGGCCTCCATTAATGAAGACAGTACAATTGATAAAGAAATTAACGTAAAGGAGGAAGAACAGGAGAAGGACTTTCCTGCAATTCATCCAAGCGAGAAGTTTGTTTCTCAAACAGAAATCTACGTGAAAAGTTTAGATAGTGTTTCGTTATCTCCAATAAAGTCAGCGGGGAGTGATCCTAATATAGCTCTTAGATCTCAACTTATAGAAGACGATTTTTATCAAGTTCCAAGGCCTTTGATTAAAGACAACCGACTATCGCAATCTCTAAAAGACTTTACCGAAGAACAAGAACTCAGTACTAGTATAGTGCCATCGAATAATTCTAGTATTGAACACATCTCTGCTAGTCAGTTTCTTCCCAAACCAGACATACAAAGTACTGAGACTATTATTGATTACAATGTGAAATCCAAAAGCAAAATTATTAAAGTGAAAAAACCAAATATACTGAAAAAACGAAGATGGGATTCGTTTAGAAACAAATTCAATAATATAATGCAAGACCAAGCTTCCAAACAACGCGTAGGAGCGTTCAATGATAAAGAAAAACTGACGCTAAATTTGGAAGAAATGTACAAGAACTCTAAAAGTAAATGCAAAAAGCTCGTTGAAAATACAAGCAAAATGTTCTATAAGAAAAAAGCCAATGATGATACCTCTTTAGAAACCGCGACTAGAAACCTAAAAGCGAGTGATATTGAGTACAAGTTAAATCACAGTGTGAACGGTTCTGTTAAAAATGACAGCTTTGACAGTTCGGACCAAAAAGACGCCGAAATTAGTTCACCTACTACTACTAAAATTTCATATGACGTCAATGATAGTAGTTTTAATGATAGTAAAGTGTCCACTGATGATAGCAGGAATGAGGATCAAAGTATCGACTTTAGCTCCATAAAAAATGCTTTTATCAAGAGAATCATGTCACACGAGGTAAGTTTTTTTTATAGTTATTTCTAATTACGTACAATAAATTATTTAAATCATCTTGATTCAAACTTTTACAAGACTATGTATGTCATTTGGTAATATATCATGAGAACAAAAATTTCCTTCCAAGCATACCATTTTAGTGTTAAATAAGTATGATAAAATGTCCAAATTATCAGCAATAATAGAGATCGTTTGTGATTTATTCTTAATAAATATTTGAAAAAAAGGTTTGTTTTTTGGATATGGTAGCTAAAATTACTGTAATGCGTTTCATGTAATGTGTTTCTGTTTTCTCATGATTCGTAATTTTATTTTGACTATATTCCTTCTTTAGCTTCCTTAAGCTTTTTTATGGATCAGTCAATCACTATTCTAGTAAAAGTGATTGAAATAAGAGTGATCCTCGTGTTTTCTGTATTTTTATCTAATTTATTATTTTTTCTACATATATATCAAGCAAGCCAATGTTTATTCATAATTATCGATTGTATCGTTAAAATACTGCTATTTTATTTATATATGATTATTTCGAAGATGTTATAGTTTTCACTTTAAACTCTCCCATTTATCTTTGTCGTTTTATTCCTCAGCTCCATAATTCCTTTTAACTTGGCGTCGTCTACTTTGGGTTTTCAGGATCTTCTAGGTCAATATGTCTTCCTGTTAAATTCCGAACTCCTCCTTTCTATTGTTTGTCCATCTATTGTCACTAGCTCTTTTGACATGTCCTGCGTTATTCCCTATATTGTTTAATCATTTTTCTTTCTCTATATTTATGACACTGCTGAATGCATATCTACTCATATTTATGTCAATATACTAATTAACTGTTCCATCTATCTGGGTTTTTTCCTGGTATTATCTTTAGGTTATCGTCCGTTTATAAATCTTCCGTTTCGTCTTATGTTGTTTCAAAGTATTTTGTTTTCGCCCACTTAATATCAAGAACTGCTTTAGTGTATTTTGGTTGTGGCTTCCTCATTACGTAACTCAGTTGTATAAGTATATTTTAAATAATACTGTAGATGTCCCAAATCCCTGCAAGAGATCCTTTGTTGTATTGAAGTGCCCTATTATTATTCCCTTTTTAATAATAATTAAAAAATTAGTTTTAGAGCATTATAATAAATATACTCTAGAGATGGTATTGCAATAAATTTTAATTATTTCATTATTTAACCTATATACTTCCGAGTTTTCGAAAATATTTTGTTTATCACAATTTTGCTGACACATGTTTAGTTTTTCGTACTGAGATTTTTATTTTCTATTTAAAGTGAAAAGACAGCAAATATTTGATTTCACGCAAACAGAGCCTTTGTATCTGTTGATACGTATTTCGACCTAATAGGTCTCGTCAGAACAGTTATTCAAGGGTGTTCTTAACGTGAAAGATCAATATTTTCTGTCTTTTAAGAAGCAACACTAAAATGGCTTCAATGGTGTTAAAGAGACGTGGGGAATCCAAAATTTGCATTTCACGACACATCTTTTCAACTAAGCAGAAATCCTTAGCCAATTGGTTTCTAGTACTCGTACAGAGTATATCCGAATAAAGTGAAAAGATAGCAAATATTTGATTATCAAATGAAATCAAATAGTAGGTACATTTTTGGTATTGGTATATATATATATATATATATATATATTATATATATATATATATATATATATATATATATATATTATAATGTAATTCACAAGAATTAATTGTGGGAGAGTTATTAGACACAAAATTATAGAAGAAAACAAAAGGATCTTACTTCATTCTTTATTGAAAATGTTTCATGTATACATGTATAGTCATCTATGTTACACATAAACATACACATTATTAGTTCATCTAAAAGTAAATGAAGAATCATAAGAGTAAATTACAAAGCGTAACTTCAATAGCTTTAAATTTAAAGGCTTGGTTGAAAAAAAAGCATCAACAAACAATGTTGAAAGTTTGATCATCCTTCCCCTGTGGCTGGCTAACCAGTCACAACGTAGACTATTAACATATGATTTTTAGGATTGACTTCTCTTGTTTGTTCTTTGTTTATCTGAACCGATCACTGGAGAGAAAATGGAGTTCTCAACCACCTTTTCCTTTCATTTTTTGGTTTTTACAGACAGGTTGTCGATCAAATTTGTCTAATTTTTTAAATAAACCGCTCTATTGTACTGGAGTTGGTAGTAATACGCCTTCTAGTTATGTCACTCGTTGACCTCTTGGCCTCTGTCTTTTCACGTTGTTGACGTTTACCACCTTTGTCTTCATTTCATCGGCAGCAGTCGACAAGCTCTCAGTGGTAACTTCATTATTACTTTTAAATTACTAAATTTTTAATTAATCATTTGAATAATGCTACCTAAAGTCAAAATGAAATCTTAATTATTGATTAACTGTTGGAAGTGCATCTTGGATCTTTTAGTTCTTTTCCACACTAATTGTGTTTTTTATATATGATAATTTTTTACTTAAAATTTTTTACATACATGTACAACTACCACATGTCTTTTGCTGTGCTAATTTTATGAAAATTGTTAACTATATTTAGTTCAATTTATTGTTTATACAACATAATTATACAATATTCATTGTCGTAAGCTTCTTAACAATCGGTAATTATCATTGACTGCTACATATCTTTTTGAGATAAGATACTTAATAATATATATATATATATATATATATATATATATATATATATATATATATATATATATATATAAATATATACATGTACATATATACATGTACATATATATATATATATATATATATATATATATATATATATATATATGTATATGTATATGTATATATATATATATATATATATATATATATATATTATATATATATATATATATATATATATATATATATATATATATTATCTCGGCGCGGTTCAATCCGGAAGGCTATTGAGTTTAATATTAATTCTTGTATTTTGTTTTATATTATATATTCAGGGATTCTACAGTATTCACTGCTTTCCTCGCTCAGCCGGTTCCATGTCTCTCTGTTGTCCCATTATCCATCGTTTAGGCCTCTCTTACTCAGGGCGTCGTCTACTTCGTTCCTTCAGGATTTTCGGGGTCGTCCTCTCTTTCTCATTTCTGTGGGGCTCTTGCTAGTATCTTACTGCTGTTTTTCTTGTTTATTATCCAATTTTTAGCCCCATATGTCATAATACTTCGCACTAATGTTCTATAAATACGTGTTTTTGTCTTCATATTTAGGTGTGTATCTCACCATACTGAGTTAAGTTGTCGGATTGCTGTTCTTGTTTCTCGTAATCTTTGCGTAATTTCTTTCTATGTTGTTGCCTTTTTCGTGATTATTAACCCCAAGTATTTTAATTTACCTTTTTCTTTGATTGTTAGGTTGTCATAATACTTCGCACTAATGTTCTATAAATATGTGTTTTTGTCTTCATATTTAGGTGTGTATCTCACCATACTGAGTTAAGTTGTCGGATTGCTGTTCTTGTTTCTCGTAGTCTTTGCGTAATTTCTTTCTATGTTGTTGCCTTTTTCGTGATTATTAACCCCAAGTATTTTAATTTACCTTTTTCTTTGATTGTTAGGTTGTCATCAATCTGTAGATCTTCTATGTCTTCTTGACTTCTAGATAGGTACTCTGTTTTTGCGAGGTTAATATCTAGGCCAGCCTTGATATATTTTTCTCGTAGTTTCTTTATCATATAGCTGAGGTCGTCTTGGTCTTGTGCAATCACTACTTGATCGTGTGCAAAGCTTAAAGTATATATTCCGTACCGGTACTCCCATGCCTTCGCATTTTCTTTTCCATGTAGTCAAGGCTTTCTCTAAGTATATTTTGAATAGGGTTGGAGATGTGGAACAACCCTCCAGAAGCCCTTTTGTTGTGGTGAAGTCTCCTATGACTCTTGTTCCCACTTTAATGGACAGTTTATTTTCTTTTTACAGAGCTTTTGTAACTTCTATGATTTTCGTCTGTATTTCTAATTTGTACATTGCCTTTCATAGTTCTGACCTTGGTACAGAGTCATACGCCTTTTGCAGGTCCACAAATGCCAAATTTATATATCTGTTTTTTGCTTTTTTCTTTTCCAACAGTTGTTCTGGTGTGTATATGTGGTCTATGCATGATCTTCCTGCCGTGAGGCCTGCCTAATACTCCCCGATTTTGCATTTTATCGCTTGCTCTATCTTCTCTCGCAGTATCTTACCATATAATCTTCCTATTGATGATATTACGCTTATTCCCCTGTACTTTTATATCTCATTTCTTAAATCTAGATGTCATATATATGCCATTCCTTTGGGAGCTGTTCTCCATTTATGGCTTTCTGAAATATCCATTATATCATCCGGTGTAATTTTTTTGAGCAGTATTTTATAAGCTCAGGTGAGATGCCTCCAGGTCCCGGTGCTTTCTTATTTTTGATTGCTTTTATGGCCGTTCTCATTTCCCTATCTGTTATTTCTATTTCTTGTTGTAGGGATCTGCTTCGTCTTCGCCTGTTTTCTGTTCCAATGAATTGTGCTCTTTGTTCTGTTAACAGTTCGTTGTAATAGTTCTTCCATTCTTTGTCCTATATATTTTCCAATTTTAACAATATTAAATTTTATTATTTTATTTTAACAATATTAAATTAACTGACTAAATTTAAAAATAAATTTGCCGCTACTTTATTTTATACAATTGACAAATTAAATATTTTATAATAATCTATAATGTAAAGTGCGTAGGCAATAAACAATCGAAAACTAGTTATCAACAACGTAAAATATAATAAACACACATGAGTGTCTTTCTGGCATAAATTAAATTTCAAAATTATTTTCTTTCTAAAAGTGCTAAGTTCTAATATTGTAATTGTTAATTAACTTTAAACATAATGTTTTGTGATAATGTAAAAATTTTTATATACTAACCTCATGTTGTAAGTTTTTATGCTTCCGATACAATGTTCTTTCGTGTCTGATTGTAGTGTCACTGAAACATTAATTTAAATTTATTA